ATAAAGACATATAATATAAATAAATATAGTAAAATATAATTTTTCTAAAAAAGTTCAAAAGGCTACACATGCAAAAATGTTTTATAGCACAATGACTAAATAAAATTTACACCGTTAACAGTAACATTTACTGATAACGTGTGATTTCTGCAGTGTTACGTGAAAATTACGCAGAAAGGTCAATCTACAAATAAAAGGCCTGTGGTAGTTTTGTTTTTACACAGATCAGAAGTAAAATAAAGCACGTCTGCTGCGCTCCTGCGTTTCCCTGGGTCTGAACTTAAGTGACCCCAGCTGGCTGTGCGGCGGGGCTGCACGCAGCTCAGGAAGCATGGCTAAGAGAGGCCCCATTCCCGAGGGTTAAGGCTGGGCAGACCCGTGACTTGGAATCACGTTTCCATGTGGACGAACAGCAATACTTTCTCTCCCTCCCCTGACCCCCTAAGTGGCAAATCTGAACCACAAAGCCCAGTTTGGAGGCTCCATTCAGTTGTTCAATTCAGCCGATGAACATTCACTGAACACCTGTACTGTGATAGGTGTTTGGAGAGGACAAACAAGAATTCTAAAAGAGAATGACACAGCTAACTTGAATTCCATCTGCTCGGCGTTAAGACAGAGGTAAAGGTAAATAAAGGGCGGGATGGACTTTCCGAGAGCGTTAGCCCATCCTGGGGGTTCAGGGAGGCTTCCTGGAGACGACAGCAGAGATGAGTCTTGAGGAAAGGGAAGAAGCGCCCTCTAAGCAGGGGAGACAGCAGGAGCAGAGGACCTGAGGCATGGAACAGCACGATGTGCCACGGAACCGAAACCACTCTTCCTGCTGTTCTGATTGGGTGATTTCCATTATCCTTCGAGATCACGTATGTGTTCTTCTGTGCCCCTGGTCTTAGCTATTACTAGCTTCTAGTGTGTTTTTCATCTCAGTTATTGCATTCTTCAGCTCTGACGGGATCCTTTTATATTTTCTAGTTCCTTGTTAAAATTCTCACTGTGTTCATCAATTCTTTGCCCAAGGTCAGTTAGCATTTTTATTATTAATGTTTTGAATTCTGTATCTGGTAAACTATTCATCTGTTTCATCAGATGTCTTTCCAGGTTTTTTTTTTCTTGTCCTTTCACTTAAAACAAGCTCCTGTCTTCTCATTTTGTTTAACTTTCTCTGTCTCTATGAAATTATGTGAACAGTTACCTATTCCAGTCTTGAAGGGATGTCCTTGTGTGGGAGTGTCCCTGTGCAGTCTGTGTGTGCTCGGTGGCTTTGGTGGGAGAGCTGGATCTGAAGCTAGCTCAGGTCACGCCTTCCCACAGGTGTGCTGGCAGCTATCACCTCGGTGGGAGGCAGGGATGGAGATGGAGGGGCTAGAGACAGGGCCAGGTGTGAGCCAGGGCTTCTACTATGCTCAGTGGCTGTCACTGCCCTATCGAGGATAGGATCACAAGTCTGGAGGGTCAGGTTTGAGCTGGTTCCATTCCTGTTAAGTGTGCACTCTCCCCACTCCTAGCCTTGGTCCCTTCGCCCCAGAGCGAAGCAGTGCTGAAGCAAGAGGGGCCAGGGCATGCGCAGGGATGGTCCTGGCATGCTAGTTGGAGCTCCAGACAGCTCCCGGTCTGCTGCCTCTTAGAGCACCAGCAGTGGCTGTCCTTATCCCGTCCAGATGCAGTCCAGACTTCCCCTGGATTTCCCCTCCACATGCGCCCTCTCCTGTGCAATGGCAACCTTGGCCCCAGTGCGGAGGTGTGCCGGAGCTGGAGGGGCCGGGGCCTGCCGCTGTGCAGTAGTGGGACACCAGCCAGAGCCCTGGGCAGTTTCCATTTGCCTCCTCCACTGGATTCATGGAGGGAAGCAAGTATGTGCATGCTCTTCATGTGACACATCTTGGTTTCTTACAGCCCTCGTGTAAGTCCCACTGGTTTTCAAAACAGCGAAGGGGACTTGTTTTCCTGGTGATGGATCCCAGGGCTGGGGTGCCCAACCTGTGGTTCAAACCAGTTCGTCTTCAGAGAGGATCTCTAAGCCCATGACATCCCCCTCCTCTTCTGTGTCCCCTCCTAGGCGCGCAGGTCCTGACCTGATCACTTCTCCTCCCTTCCTCCCTGACTTCTGTGGGTCTTTCTCTACAGCTTCGGTTGTAGCTGAGTCCTCCTGGCAGTCCCCAGTTTGTTTTCAGTGAGAGCAGCGCCACAAGCACGTGTATTTTTGATGGGTTTGTGGGAGAAGGTAAGCTCAATGTCCTCCTACTCCACCATCTCCATCTCCTCCCCAACTGCGTGTTTTTATAGTTATAATAGAACACAGCCACACCCATCTATTTCTGTGTTGTCCATGGCTGCCTTCCTGTAGAGCTGAGTAGTGACAGAAACCATATGGCCTGCAAAGCCTAAAATATATCCTGTCCGGCACTTTGTACAAAAAAGTTTGCCAACCCCCGAGCTAGAAGGTTGAAGGGAGTGGTTTAAAAGAAGGTTCGCCTGTCCTCAAACCTCCATACCCAGAGCTCTTAGAAATCCAACAAAGCTGGTTGATTTAAAAAGCAAATTAGTCTTCAGATGAGCCCTTCATGCAGAAATCTTTTACCCAGTTGCTACTAAGACCACACTGAACTGCTCTCAAGACACGGGAGTTTTGATGATGGGGGAAAAGAAAGGAGAAACAGGTAGATTTGGAGTGTGAGGTACCACTAAGTGGGGTGTCTGGGGACAGCTGGAGAAGAATGATATTATGGCCTCAGGGTCTTAAGAATAGAAGAACCAAGAGCAGGGAGAAGAGCTTCACTAAAAATCCTACTGCAGTGTCACTGCGGGCTGGGCCTGCACGTCCTCCCAGAGGCCCAGCACCGCTGACATTCATCTGGGCTCATTCCTGCCTCTAAAATGCTCAGAGAGAGGCTGTGGAGAGTCAGACCCTAACAAACTGGCTCTGTGATGAGTCACAGAAAAATCAAGGCAAGGGGATATTTCACAGGGAATGGCCAATACCAGCAGTAGGAAGCAAACAGAAGGTGAGGACAGATTATGCCTATATGTAGATGTGTGCCCTTGTGTATCTTAGTGACAATTAGGTTAATAAATTTAAGTTAATATACATTTATTTCATTTGTCTTGTAAAGTGCATAATTATTTCTTCTTTCCTCAATTCAGGGAGTCCAGGCTGCTTCCTGGTTTGGAGTCTCATCAGTCACAACACAACACATGTCTGAGAATGGTTTCATGACTACATAGCAGGAAGTGATAACAGTCACGACATATAAGTAATTACATGAACTAGTTGGATTCACCTTACCATGGACAACAGTCTATTGATGGCCACTGCCCGTTGCTGGGCTTCAATATGAGGCATTTCATTCTGAATTACTTGGTCTGTGATTCCATGAGGAAACTGGTGACATAATTCTATAATCCTAGGAACAAAGGCATTAATGATAGTCAAGTTTTTACCTATTTCAAGAGGCATTAGAGGAAAAAAAAAAGCAGAACAGTTTGAAACTGTGTCTTTTTTCCACAACTGGCAGATAATCTGCGTTTCTATTTCTACAGTGGTTCTGAATGAATGTATGTTAAAATTGAGGAAGATGCTTCTGAAATACATATTTTCATTATTACTGTATTTAAGAGAAGCATTTCTTTCCCTTACTAATATGAACTTTAAAATAGAACAAAAGTCAAATGAAAACACAGAAAAACATATTACTGAGGCTTCAATTTTCTCAGATGGAACAGTATGACAAAGTTAAGATACAGAGCCTTAGGGAGCCGGAAGTCTGTAAGCAGGAGGCAAATCAAACACTTCTGGTGGGAAGTCAAAATTTGTTATGACAATTCATCACAACTGGGGCCTGCTTTTGGAATTAGTGCTACCAAACAAAAATAATCTTCAACTTGCCTTACGTGTTATTTATAACAGTTTGAGAAAGTTGGGGTGTTTTAAAACTACGTGGTAACCTAAAAATTGCAGTGCACAGGTAGAGAATATAAAATGGGGAGAGGCTTTGGGTGCTCTAAAATCTTCACTTTAACAGCTCACTGAAATCATCTGGCCTGTGTTGCTTCACAATCGAAAACTGCACCTTAACTTCGGTCAAACGTTCTGTGGTGGGAGTTCCCTTGGGGACAAGGGCGATCCTGGATCCGAACATGTATCCACAGGTACTACAGGGGAAAAGCCGAGCGTTCACTCTGAACAACCATCGCCTTCATGTGGGAAAGAAGTGCATCAGCACAGCTTTGCGAACAGCACTAGGTTAAGGTCAGCTATACAAACTTGCACACTGTCAAACTCGTTTTTAACTTACTGAGATTCCTGCATCCCAGGGATGGGAGGAGGGTTCCAACCCCCTGAGCGCTCACCGAATTTGCGCAGGTGTCTACCGGTGGTCCCGGAGAAGGGGCCCAGCACCTTGCCCGGGCTCCGGAGCCGGGAACCAAACCTAACTCACTGAGTTACCTGTTTTCGATTTCTACCGGGTCCGCGTCGGGCGGCTGCACCTTGACCTTCACCTCAGCCATGGGGGCGCAGTTCCCGGCCCCTTGGGGAAGAGACGCTGGGAGCGGCAGGACAGAGAGCCGCGGGATCCGAGAACCAGCGAAGACAGCGCCTGGCTTGGGCAAGGGGCCTTCTTCCCCGTGTCGCAGCCGGTCCTTCCTTGCCTGTCGCGCTGAGGTGGCCAAGCCGCGCCTGCTCCGCCTCCATCACGCGCGCCCCGACGTTTTCTTATTCTGTTTTTTCCTGAATGTCACTGTCTGTCGGAACGACGGGCCTGGTTCTCTCATTCTGAGTTGGGACTTCACCTTCTAGCACTTTCCAGCCTCTGTGAAAGCCCATTCTCAGATGCCCTCGGTGAAGCCTGACGGAAAGAGCTCGAGGCGGGTACCAGTCTCCGAGCCTAGCGCAGGGGCGGGGCTAGTTGCTAAGAAGCCGGCTCCCCGCCAATCACCTGCCCCGCTCTCAGGGGGCGGGGCGCGGCTCGCAGCGTCGGTGGTAACCCGGACTGCAGTGAAGGAGAAGGCCAAGGGCGGAGAGCGGTGGGCTCCCTGGCTGGCGGCGGCGGCGGTACCTCGAGGGTCCCAGTCGGGTCTCGGTGATCGGAGGAGGAGGAGGGGGAGGACATCCCTCACATCAGCTGAGAAGAAGCGGGCGTCCTTGGCTGCATCTGAAGGGCGGGGACGGGCACCAGCCGGGGTTCCGGATCCGGGCGGTGAGGGGGTAGTCTGGATGGAGGGATTGCGGGGTGGGGGATGCTGTTGACGCCACACTGCCATTTGGGCCTAGCGGATCGGTCTGCTTCTTGATCCTCTGCGCTTGGGGCCCACTGGCCTGTCCACTGTCAGCCTAATAAGGGCAGCTTCTAGTGGTCGCGCGAATTTATTATTCCCTTCTCAAAGGTTTTATTTTGAACCAATTTTCAAGTATTTTTATTTTAACTGCCTCTCACTTAAATGAAAATGTAAGGATGGGTAAGCTCCAGAGTCCAGCCACCCTGCGGTGGCGATATTGTTCTACTCTCTGTATCTGCAATTTAAATTCTTGGCCTCCGACCTGGAGCTATCCAACCAGGCATTAAGAGCACTCTTTAAACATTTGGTTATCCTGCGTTTGGGAACACAGAGTGTGACAAAATGCAATCACAAAGATGTGCATAGCCATTATTTAGAATAGCAACAACCGAAACTAAAAGGAAACTAGTAATAGCCTAAATGCCCAATCACAAATTGATAAATTATATAAATACTTGGCAAATTGTAAGTCATAGCCGAGGAGGCAAGAAGTACACTGTAAAAATTGAGTTTTAATATAGGTTTTCATTGAGTACAGTCTATGCATCCATTATCATTGAAATTTGAAAAGGTCATTGAGATGTAGATGGTTGCTGTATTAAGGTGCACAGGTTTTTTTTTTTTTCCTTTGAATCCTTTATGGATTAAAAATTATGACCCCCACCCACTCCCCTACTAGGGAAGAAAGATCAGTAAGACATCTATGCTCATACTTACTTATAAATGCAGTAGATGGAGTGGGAGACTTGTGTTTGCTGCTCACTGTTTATATCCACGCCAGCTTTCTTTTGGTTGAGGCATGATACTCTGCTGTCCATCTAAAGTTTCTCTGCAGCTTTCAAATGCAAGAGCCAGTTGATGACCACTGTGGGGCTTTGAACCTGGAGCTGTCCCAGAGGGGTTGGCTCTAAATTAACATTTCATGCTACATGCAGAGTTACTTCTGTTCCTCTTGTGTGCTGACTTGCCCCGATGCCAAGAGAGGTGGTGCACTATTAGGAGGCGGGAAAGGGTGGTCATGAGGCAGGGGTTGCTCAGGTCAGATCATCAGTGATGGTCTCTGCTCTGAAGCATTCATTTAATTTGCTCACTTAAAATAATTATATTCCCCCATCTCATACATTCATGCTTTCCCCCCAGAAGTGAGGTAAATATTTAGATAATCAAAATCCCACACAAGACCTCAACAGCAAAAATACAGCTGAAAGAGGAGGAGGATAATAGCTCAGTGTCAGAGTGCATGCTTAGCATGCACGAGGTCCTGGGTTCAATCCCTAGCACTGCCATTAAAAATAATAATAATAAATAAATTTTTAAAATGCAACTGAAACAAGTTATTTCAATTAAAAATAACGTTTGTAGGGGGAGGGTATAGCTCAAGTGGTAGAGCACATGGTTAGCAGGCATGAGGTCCTGGGTTCAATCCCCAGTACCTCCTTCAAGAATAAATAAACAAATAAACCTAATTACCTCCCCCTACCAAAAAAACTATAAAACAAAAACCAAAAACTAAACAAAAAAAAAAAAAGAAAAAAGTTTGTAAATGATATATTAACAGTATTCTATTTAGTAGTTACTAGTGTTCCTGTATTTGAATGAAGTGCTTCTCTTCAGTTTTTGTGTTCAAATATAGGTGCCCGTTGGAATTTATTTTCATCCACTTTTGTTTAAAGTAAGGAAGGAAAATGACTGCTGGTTCAGTGTGTGTCCCTCAAATCATCCCTCTGCGGGTGCCTCAGCCTGGAAAAGCCAACCATGAAATTGATAACAATACCCTTTTGGAAATGAAATCAGGTAAGAATCAAATGTACTTGAAATCGTATAAAACAACACTGCTGTCCCCTTTATGTTCATCTGGTTGTTGATTTCCCCCTTTGCAGGCTTTCTATAATCAGGATCTTGGGAAGTTTGAAACAATGATAGCTTTTGGGTGGTATTTATATAGATTAAAACAGTTGTCTCTGACCAACCTTCCATTCCCGGAGCTTCCCCAGACTTTCCCAGAATTTGCATTATTTTTCCGGGATAGTAAGTTTGACTTGCCAACACGGGCTTTCCAGTCACACAGGCTGGAGAGTGAATCCTGGCTTTGACAGCTTCTCGTGACCTTCAGTACCTCCCTCAGTCTTTCTGAGTCTCAGCTTCCTCACTGTAAGATAGTGATAACATTGTCTTCCATTTAGAGCCATTGTGAGGATTGCATGAATTGATATGTGATAAGCAAAATCAATCTTAGCTATTTTTGCAGAAATAAAGCAGTGAATATATTTCCTACTAATGTCAGGAGTACACACACACACACACACACGCACGTATGTGTATATATAGTTAACATAAGGTGAAGAAAAAGTTTTTACAGATAGAATATATGAGCAAAGACGTGTTTAAAACAGACTTCCAGCCTCTAGTTATGTATTTTAATAACTGATATGAACAAAAACTATTTCTCTGTATTTATGGTAGGACATATGTGCTTCTTGACTGAGAGTTCCAACTAAGAATATATTACATTACTCTGTGCCTCCATTTATCTTCAAAGCTAATATTATTTAAAAAAAATCCTCAGACCAAAATACAAATTTTAATATATGTGCTCATAACCCTGAGAATGACAGGATATCCAAATTCTCTACTACTTAAAATGTCTAATAAATAGTAAGTTCTATAATTCAATGACAAAATAATAATAACCCAATAGAAAAATGGACAAAGGGTGTGAAAGGACACTTTATAGGAAAGGAAATATGAATGTCTCAGAAATGTATGAGAAGATGCTTCTGTTCATCTTTCATCTGCTTGCTGAGCAGACCTTAACTCCTGTTTTATTTCCTCCATTGCAATTAATCACCACTCAATAGATTGTATATAATTATTTGTTTACTGTTTGTGTGTTTTTCCTAATATGGAAGCTCTATGAGAACAGAGACTTTGGTCACTGGTGTATCCTCAGTGTCTAGAAAAGTGTCTGGCACATAATAAGGTATTTGGTAAATATTTGTTGGATGAAAAAGTGATTCGTACTCAAAATATAAGAAATGTGAGTTAAAAGGTGTGGGAAAAAGGGAACCTTCCTACACTGTTGGTGGGAGTGTAATTTGGTGCAACCACTATGGTAAAAAGTATGGAGATTTCTTAAAAAGCTAAAAATAGACTTTATGATCCAGCAATCCTACTGCTGGGCATATGTCTGGAGGAAGCTAATTTGAAAAGATACAGGCACCCCAATGTTCATAGCAGCCTTGTTTACAATAGCCAAGACACAGAAGCAACCTAAATGTCCATCGATAGATGATTGGATAAAGAAGATGTGGTATATATGCACAATGGAATAATACTCAGCCATAAAAAAGAATAAAATAATGCTATTTGCAGCAACAAGGATGGACCTAGAGATTATCATACTAAGTGAAGTAAGTCAGACAAAGACAAATATCATATAACATTACTTATATGTAGAATCTAAAAAACTCGTACAAGTGAACTTATTTAGAAAACAGAAAGAAACTCACAGACATAGAAAATAAGTGTATGGTTACCAAAGGGGAAAGAGGAAGGGAGGGATAAATTAGGAGTCTGGGATTTGCAGATATAACCTACTATATATAAAATAGATAAACAACAACAAGGTCCTAGTGTACAGCACAGGGAACTGGATTCAATATCTTATAATAGCCTATAATGATAAAGAATATGGAAAAAGTATATATATGTGTAACTGAACCACTATGCTGTACACCAGAAACTACCACAATACTGTAAGTCAACTATACTTCAATTAAAAGAGAAAAGCAAACAACAACAAGAAAGAAATGTGAGTTAAAACTATAAGATACTTTTTTTAAAGCTAGGAAAATGTGAAAGAAATATTGGAAAAAGATAAAAGAAAAAATGATCACACATTATGTGGGTGAGTCTGTGGGTGAACAGGCACTTCCTCGCGTTGCTGGTAGCAATGTGAATTGTTTCAACATCCATGGAGGGAAGTTTGGCAACATTAACCAAAATTACAAATGCACATATTTTTTGACTCAACAGTACTGGTTCTACATATTTTTCTGATATACTTATAAAAATAACTCTTTACAGGTTTATTCATTACAGTGCCTAATGGCAAAGGAGGAAAGAAAAAGAAGGCAAAGGCAAAGAAAACAGTTTAGTGTTCATCTGTAGGCAGTGGCTATTTGCCAGTAATTCATCTATCTAAAGATAGAGTACAATGCAGCCATTACAAAGAATGGGGATGCTTTTAATGTCCCAATCCAGGACAATATCCAAGACAGATTGCTAAATGAAAAGAGAAATATGCAGAGCAGGGTGTGGTATACCACCATCTGTATAGAGGGAGGGGGAAATAGGAATGTGTACATACATGCGTGTATGGATGACATAAATATGGATATAAAATGCTTTTGGAAGGATGGTCGATATTATTGGTTGCCTTTGGGCAGCTGACGTCAGGGGTGGGAGGGAGAGTTTTAACTGTTAAGTCTTTTTTTGACCTTTTGAATCTCGGCTCACTTGAAGCTTATTCCCTTTACAGATTTTCCAAGAAGTGCAGGAATCATTTACCACATCCAAATAAAATATGACAAGAACATTTCTTACCTAGTGCTCAGAAAATGAAAAATTAGCTTCTGCTTTCTAAGTTGACATTGTAGTTTTGAAATTCACCTCTGCTTGATTTGTCTCAACGCTCTGTTGGGGGAGTGAAATAGCATAGTGGTTCAAGCTTACAGGCTATGGCTCCAACTTCCCATAAGTCAGACCACAGCTCTGCTGCTACTTAACAAGTGTCTTAACCTCTCTGGGACTCAGTTTCCTCATCAATGAAGTGGGTATAGAATAGGACCTATCTCATAGGTTTGTACAAATAAAATGAGCTAATTCGTGTAAGGCACAGTGCCTGGCACAGAGAAAGAACTCAGTTATTGTCATTGTTATTCATTTCTACCGCGTGTAAAAACTCTCATTCAATAACTGACGCACAGGCATTATTCAGGGACTTGCTACTTTGGTGCTAATTCAGTTATCCTGTTTTGGGTTTTTCAGACACCCCAGATGTCAACATATACTATACCCTGGATGGCAGCAAACCTGAATTCCTGAAGAAAATTGGTTATGGTGAAAATAATACATTTAAGTATACAAAGCCTATTACTCTGCCTGATGGGAAAATACAAGTCAAAGCTATTGCTGTCTCTAAGTAAGTTCAGAGCACAGTGATTAAAACCATTTAGATTTATTATGTTTTAATTTTATTTATTTCAGTGAGAATCGGTGCTGCATTAAAGGGGCACTAAAGAAAAGGTTGTCTTAATTTAAGCATGTATCTGTAACTTTTGTGTTTTCTTTGTCTGCTATTGAGTTACTCTGTAAAGTGTACAAATGAAGAGGGTACAGCTCAGTGAAGTGCTGTGTACGTTAAAACTGTTTTTAGTTTGAATCCCACACTGGGATTTGGGGAAGGAAGAGCCTTTTCAGGGTTTGGGGCCTCTGAAGAGATTAATCTGACTCTGAAGAAAACACTGTTTTTAGGTTATGGTCTTTTATCCCCCAGGATGTGGCCTGTAACCACCACGGCTCCCTGCCTGATTTTACATTGACTTTATTGGACTTCAAAGCTGCGGGCAGTCCAATTTGTCGGACATAAACTACTTCATTCTTTTCTTTGTCCTCTCTTTCCTAGTCAGTAACTTTTTTCCATTTTCAGATATAAAAACACCACTTAATTTGGTACCTTCACCCTGTGTTGTAGATTTAAAAAAAAAAACAAGTCGAAATGCTTTGCAAGTCTGTATCTGTGATAGAGGAATTATTTTGTGCAGCAAGAGAGGTTTGGCCACATTTCTGAAACACCTTTAAGCCCCATACCAACACCTGGCCGGCCCAGGTACTTTGCAAAAGACTCTCCGGGCGCCCCCTGCTGGCCAAACTGCCACATGGCTTTTCGAAGAGAGCTACGAATTCTACACCATAGGTTTAAATGCCAAACATTTAAAGAATTTTTTAAATAATAAAATAAAACAAAACAAAACAAAACAACCCATTTACACATTAAATATTGGAATCTCTGGCTTTCTCCCATTGTCCAAACCATTTCTATCGAAACAATTCATTTCAATTATTAAAAATTAAGAAACTAATATTGGCACATATCGACTTGGCCCTGACCCCATCCAGGTGAGCTCTGCTCACCTATGAGCTCTCTTGAACTCACTCCACAAGTGAAAACCACTTTCCTGGACCTCACAGCCACATTCATGGGAGCAGCCTGCTTAAAGTCTACCCAGTAGGAACCACAGCAAGAGCTCAAGGTTGCAGCAACCAGAGCATATATTCAACAAGACATGCTCGCTTATTTTTGACTAAGGAAAGTTTAGTAATTGGTCTCACTTTTAATAAAGGCCTATTAATAGAAGACATTGTATCCAGAAGACCAAATTATTCCAGAAATCTGGAAGTATTTTTCCTTGTGTTTTTGGTTAAATTTCTAGATATATTTTTCTAGCACCCTAGTTTCCTTAAAATAAAATCGGTGCGCTCAAAGAAAAAATTTACAAGCTAAATACTCTGGTGCCTAACGTTGTAAGGCAGGCTCCTTTATCAGCTGCAGGTGGTGGTAAAATGAAGTGGTAATTAATGACTGTGCAGTTCAAGGGAGTTAATAAAGCTTCCACAGGAGTCTAAAAATAAGGATATTGTTTATACCTCTCACCATCTTGCTCTGTGCCCACTAAGTGTCTGCTCTGAAAAGCACTATTAGTATTTTAGATGTGCTCAGCTTAGGGAAATTATCTATACAAATTTTTTTTTGAGTTTTCAAGACAGAAAAATTAGTGCTTATATCCATTTGTGATAAAATAGTTCTTTGGGAAAATTATACTGCTTCATTCAAGTCTCCGTCTCTGGGTTTTTAAGGTCATTAGTTTCTTTACAAGAAGAAAAAAGACTTTAAATAAGACTGTTAACAATTAAAATTCATTGGGGGGAGGGTATAGCTCATTGCTAGAGTGCGTGCTGAGCATGCACAAGGTCCTTGGTGCCACCCTTAGTACCTCTATTTAAATAAATAAACCTAATTACCTCCCTCCCCACCATCAAACAAAAAAATTTAAGGTCATTAACATATTAAGAAGAAAAACTATGTTCATGAAGCTTTGAATGTAGAGGAAAATATAATCTAGAAAGTGAAAAAAATCAGCATCTAAGATGACTCTACACTATTTTGACACTTTAAAAATGCAGAGACAGGACTAGGGAAGGGCGATGACCAGAGCTGACAAGGTGGGGCTGACACTGGCCAGGAGCGAGTGGTGGGCAAGGCGACCTCAGGCACAGAGCCAGCAGCCTCCCTCTCCCCGGAGCCAGGCTGCTCGGGACGCTCTGGATGTCTTTGGCCGGGATCAGGTTGAGGGGCAGCCCCAGTCCCTTTCGGTCCCAGCTCAGTGTGGAAAAGGCCCTGACATCCTTCAGTGTGCTTTCTCTGTTGTAGATTCCCCATTTAGTTTGCTTCTGATGGCTAAGTCATTTGTAAACAAAACAAACAAGCAAACAGCAACAACAACGAAATTCCAAACTTGAGCACATGGCCTCTGGTGATACGATGCTTTTCTTTCCCCTTCTTGATAATTCTGGTAACTTCCAAAATTTAACAATGGACATGACTTTTGTCATAAATAAACATAATAAATGAAGGATCTCCAGAGTTATCATGTCACCAGTGCTTCTCAGCCTTGGCTGCTGAATCAGTGAGCTGTTGCGTCATAACAAACTACTGGGAAACTTAGCATCTTAAAAGGACAGTCAATTTCTTTGCTCATTGTTCTGAGGGGCAGCGTTCTGGTGTGCTTTCACGGGGTAGTTCTGCTGCTGGTCTCGCCTGAGGTCAGGTCTGGGGGCGGCTGCGGTCATTTTTTGGCTCCCCTTGAACTGGAATGTCTAAGAAACCCTGACTCATGTTCCTGGTGGTTGGTGCCGGCTGTTGGCTGGGCGTGTTAGCTCCATCAGGCTAGCCTGAGTTTTTTCGTTTTTTGTTTTTTTTTTTACATGGTTTGTCAGTTCCAAAAGCACTAAGGTCAAACCCTGCCACTCAGATGCTTTTCTAGTCTCCGCTTGTTGCATTTGTTTAATTGGCTGAAGCAAGCCATACGGCAACACCCCAGGTCAGCGTAGGAGGGGGTTCCACACGGGCACGGGGGCGTGGATACAGGGAGACCTGACGCGTTAGGGACCGCTCTTGTAACAGTCTACCGCAGATGCACGTTGGAATCACCCAGGGAGCTGTGCACACTCTCTGTGCCCAAGCCGCACCCTAGACCAACTAAATAACCATCTCATGGGGTGGGTCCCAGGGATCAGTATGTTTAAAGCCTCCAGGTGATTCCAATATCCAGCCAAGGATAAGGCAGCTGACATAAATGAATGGGGGGGAAGTTTCCATTTAGAGAAACTTGACCACACATTTTGGAAATATATTTTTATTAAAGTGTGATATTCTCGAATGAAAGGAAATGAGCCTTGTTATATATGTGCTTTCATGTGCCAATGTGCACGTCTGTGACTTTCACATCAGGGAATGTCTGTAAAGCACACAGGTGGACAGGAGGGGCTGGGGACTCGGGAACACCTCAGCAAAGGGAGGCTGCTGCTGAGTTTTGATGGTCCCTATTGATGGTCTAGTCCAGGGTCTGCAGACTTTCTGACATCGGCCTTGATTCTTTTTTAGTTGTCTTGTTTTGGGGGGGAGGTAATTAGGTTCATTTATTTTTAGAGGAGATTCTGGGGATCGAACCCAGGACCTTATGCATGCTAGACATGTACTCTACCATTTGAGCCATACCCTCCCCTCCAATTGCTTTGATTCTTTAAAGTCTTCCTTTGTGGTCAAGGACTACCTGTCTCCAGTATCACCATCCTGTAGTGTTTTGGCAGTGAACTTGCATTGTTCTCCCTTCTTTGTCAGTGTCCTTATATGGTGACAAGATGAGTCAAGCTGGCCTGAGGTAAAAGCTGCCTTCAACTGAAGGTGGGTGGTTGGGGGAGTCAGAGTCCCCTGAGAACAATCATTTTTCTTCAGTAGAACCAAGAAGGGCTTCCCACTTTCACAGCAACGATGAATAAAGTACACTTACGGCCAGGTTACCAGGGCATCTCACGGGCACCCACCTGTAGCCCGTCGGTGTGTATAATGCACCCTAGACCCCCACGTTCATGTGGAGGGCAGATCCAGATGCCATCTGCACAGGCAGCGCGGCTCGGAGACCGGTGGCTTGAAGTGTAGGGGGAGGACAGAAGTCACTGACCTGCAGATGTAGATTTAGTCCCAGTTCTGTTGCTTCCCCTCTGGGTGACCTTGAATGAGTTGTGTGGCCTTTGGATTCTCAGTTTCTTCATCTGTTAAATGAGGTTAATGGAACATGCTTGACAGCCGTCATGAAGGTGAGATGTCATACGCTTGGCATCGCGCACGTGGTAGCTGCCATTATTGTTGCTTGCTCTTTTTCAAATTCTTAGCGAAGGGCTAACAGATTGCTGTGTGTGACCCAACTCAAAAGGCCTCTGTTGCATTTAAAAAGTGTATGCCTGGGTGATAAGTACCTTCCACTCAACCCTTTCATGTTCCTAAACCAGAGGTTCTCAACTGAGCATAATTTTGCCCCAAAAGGTACACTGAGTAATGTCTGGAAACACTTTTGGTTGTCACCCTGAAAACGAGATTGTGCTAGTGGCATTTGGTGGGTGCTAGCCAAAGATGCTGCCAAACAGCCTACAAGGTGCAGGACAGCCCCACAGTAGGGATTATCTAGCCTTAGATGTCAGTAGTCTCCAGCTGGCTGAGAAAACCTGGCCTGGACAAGGTGCAGAATTCTTGCAGATCCAGCTTCTCCACTCCCTCGCCTTCAAGTACTTGTGGCGTATTATTGACAGCACAGTAATCCTTGTAAGGATACAGCTGTAAGTAATTTTTTATGTCCAGTGTGCCTTATATTGGTATTCCTAAAGATGCATGTTTATGGCCTCTGATTCCAGTCTTAGCAAAAATGTGTGTGTGTTCCAAGGAGGTTTGGGCTTTGAGTAGAATCTAGCTCCAACCCCAAACCCCGGCCTTTTTTGGATTGCAGTCGGAAAATCCTTCCACCCCAAAGGCAGTCTGAGCTAGCGTCTGGGCTCCTCTTGGTGCGGGGACAAAGTCCATGGGTGACAGCCCTTGCTGAGTCCCCAAGGAAAGGGCCAGCTATGATGGGGAGACAGCCTGGACCTTAAACGGGATAGAGCAAGTGGGTGGGAGGGAGGCTTCTGCCCGGCATAACGGGGCCTGGACACGCACATTCTGGAGGCATGGCCACCAGTCAGGATCTGAATGATGCCTGGATGGAGATATTTGTGACGTCCAGGAGAAGAAAACATTCTGAGAAATGCACAACTGATGTAAATGGCCACCACCTATCAGTGAGCGGCAGTATTTAAG